AGCCATAAAATAGAACCAGAGACATGGAAATAAAGAAGAAACTGACAGTAACCAGTGGGGAGGGAGAATAGGTATAACTGGGGGAAGAAGGGGACAGGTCATCAAGGAACATGTGTAAAGGACCCATGGACAAAGACAATGGGGTGGGGGTTGGATTGAATGTTGGAGGTGGAGATGGGTAGGGCAGGGGGAGAAAAATGAGGGTAAAATAGGGATAACTGTAATTGGACAACAACAAAAAAAGAGTCAATAAAAGGAAGAAAATGGAGGTTACTAATTTTCATTTTCTTTTTTTATTTATTGGGATGACATTGGTTAATTAGATTTTATGGGTTTCATTTTATTTTTATGTTGCGTAAAAGTCCTGTGTTGAATGTAATTTTGAATTTTCAGTTCTCTGAGGACATTTTCCCCACTGCTGCATGTTTCAGAATCCTTGCCAAAAGAATACATGAAAGATTCATTAATGACTTTGAAACCTAATTCACCTAGGACTACTATTTATTCACTTGATCATGTTTGGCACATAAACCCCCGCCCCCCCAAAAAAAGCCAAACATCAATTTTGTTCTAAAATATTCCCAGTTTTTTCTAGGAAGATACAAATATCATGTCTATTAAACCAGTGAGAGTTCCCTCAGACCTTGGAGTAGCAATTACATTTTATAGTAATACAGATATCTTGGAAGGAAAGTCTTGGCCACATGATAGAAATGATGTGATCAGATAAGTCAATGCCACCCAGGAGGCACCTGTTAGGTGAGTATGGTCCAGAGTTGGAGTGACCAGAAGTCCAAATACAAGCTCATGCAAACATTTTCTTCTTTATCCTTATAACTCTGAGGGTGCACAGGGATAAATAATCAGCTAAAACCACTATGTCTGTGGTTTTTCAGAGGCTTAGAAAATTATTTTCTCTTAGAAAGTTTGGTATATTTTGCTAAAACTAGAGAGATGTGAATAGTTAATTAAATTATGGTTAAAGAAACAAGAGGTCATAATTTTAAGTTGATTAAAGACTTTGAGACAGCTAGTGGGGTAGGGGGAAGTTAGGTGGTAGAGAGATTGAACAATTAGGAAGAAGGACTTGTGGACATGGACAACTGTGTGGTTATTATTGGGGAGAGGGGAATGTGACAAAACTATATGGTAATGGAAAATACAATGAAGGTTAAATAACAAAAAGACTTTGATGGGGCTGGGTTTGTGCATGAATAAATAGGTGGACACCTAAAAATAGGTTAAATGAAGGACTTCTAGAAACAACCTTGAATTGGAATTTACTTCCTGATATAATTAAGCTCTCTACAATCTTTTAAAAAATTGTACTGATAGAAGAGCTGTGACTTTTCAAGGACAGTTTGCTCTCAGCAGATCTCCATCCTCCTTTCTCCTTTCTGGGGTCCATTTCCAAGGAGTCAGCTCCCCCATGTTTGTAGTGTGACTCACAGCTAATGGTACAGGAATTGGAGGGAGTTTGCCGTAAAAAAATAAGACCTATCCTCTTTGGTAGTCATCTGGGCCTTCCCCCGACCTAGTTCTGCTGAGCCCACATGCTATGCCAGTTTGGGAAAAATAAACTAAATTTGAAAAAAAGTAAAATGTTCAGTTTTCTAAAAGACAAAAGAAGTAAATAGATAACAAATGATAGTGTCAATTTATTTTTGAAGATATTTAGGAGCAAAGACACGACTTAGAGCTTTCAGACTTGTGTAAGGCACCAACTAGATGTCTTAAGCCTGAAACAAAAGAGGTGTGTTGCATATAATTCTTTCTTATATTTCCAGTGTATTATTTTATTTAATTATTTTAATTAATCTATTGTTAATATTTATTTCATTTATTGTTACTTCTGTGATGCTCACATTTTTTAAAGTGCTCCCAGCTCATCCTAAAACATTATACCAAGGTCAGTTTTTCATTCCTTTAATGGGGTTTGTAAACTCTGGAAGATGTACTATGGGAAATGGGCAGATGGTGGGTATAGAGTATCTCCCACTTCTGAAGAAAAGGAGTATTTTAAAGCAATCAAGGGAAAACTTCACATAGCCAGTTAATTGAAATTTCTAAAAGAAAATTGTTTCCAAATTATTGATGGCTTTGAATAAGCATTGGAGTGTGAAGTTATTTCAGCAGATGTTAATGTAGCTAGTTGGTGTTGTTTGAGGATCAATCAAAGAGCATCTGTTGGTTCAAATCCAGAATTAATCTCTGGTATGAATATGTTTCTGAAAGGGGGTATTGAAGAAGCATGAATGGAAATCATAAAAGGAAAGCCACTTCTTTGCCAAATTGTAATTAAAGTCAATTAAAAAGTTTTGCCTTAATGCAGGTATAACATATATGCTGAGTACATAGGTTATGATGTGAATTGAAAGCCATTCAGAACATTTCCTCTTAAGTATAAGCCAACAAGAATGCCCTAAATTAGAGTCAGGAGTATGGCAAAATGAAAAGATGTCAGAATGGTTTTAAAATTTAGTGCGCAAAATAAGCAATATACCTTGATCTAGGTGTGAGGGTAAATATTATCTTGAATTAATTCTATATCTCAGCATTCTTCTACTCTGTGGTTATTACATTAAACAAGATAAAAATTCTATTTCCAACAATTTTTTTACATCCTATATTAAGCATAGAGTGTGACAAAACATATAAAAAGGTCTTAATGTGGTTTGGAAGATTTGAAAAGACTCCTCCAAAGAGTCTTAAGTGAAAAAATAGAGGAAGCAGTCACTAAGAGCTAGGTGTAGGTCAGGTGGAGTAAGGGGGAGGAAAAAACACAAATAATTAGATGAAAATATTTTTGCAGAGGGGTAACCCATGTAATATGGCTACTATAATACTTGTTTCTCACTATGGTAGGCTTAGGTTTTTAAAGCCACTCTTCACAATTCCACCACTGCTGCACAAAAAAAACCTCTCCCTTGTCAGAATCAGGGAGACAGCAAAATCAAGTAAAAGTACCTGCGATACCAATAAAATTTCAAGATAATGCTAAAGTATGAAACAATAAAGCTTGATATCAATTGTTAATATAGGGCAATAATTGTTGGCTTTTGGTTTTAGTACAGTAAACAAGGAGAAGGTAAAGATGAATAGAGATGAAGATGAAGCATTCCACTTTGAACAAGTTAACTTGGAGTGTGAAATTGCTAAGTGCAAACGACTAACTTTTCAAGAGAACATATTAAAAAAGGTACATTTTGAAATAATCACATTTTAAATAGTAAATCAAAGTCACAGGATTTAATCAATCCCCTGGGAAAACACATAGAAAAGCAGAGAATAGGATTTAGAGATGAAATGTTAAGAAATATCAATGTTATACAGATGGGTAAGGGAATATGTACATGTAAAGGGGAAATCAGAAAGGAAAAACAAAAACCAAGAGTGTGGATATGGTACAATGTGTCTAGAACAGCAATTTTCAACTGCTCTGCCACAAGAATTTTTAAAACATGCAATACCTGACTATTTAGTCAGGAGCACTGACCTCTTTTCCCTTAGATTGTCAAATAAAAAAAATGACAACAGTCCACGCAACCATAGCTGTCTGGTGTGAATGAATCAAAACTGTACCTTTCTTTTGGTCAAATTTGCAAAAAATATATATTTTTGGTGTGCCATAGAATTTTAGTAATTAGTTTATATGTGCCATGAAATGAAAAAGGTTGAAAATTGCTCATCTAGAACATCATAAAAAGAAAGAAATAATTGGCAGTGCCAAATGCAACAAAAAGTACAAATAAAATGGCTACATTTCATTGAAAGTTAAAGAAATAACAGTTAGACTTGCCAAGACTCGTTTCAGTGAAGTGGTGTGTTCAGAAGCCATATATATCATAAACACTTGAAGAATAGTTTGGAAGTCAGGAACTAGAGAAAATTATTGGAAGCTAAGGGTGGGAGCCAGATTGGAGATTGTGTTTAATCCTTATAGAATGTATTATAATATCAGTGGTAATAAGGAATATAAACATTTCTGTCAAATACCAGATTGAATTATAAAACATTAAGGGTCATATTCTTGAGCTGTGTACAGACATTTCCTCATTTATTTGTGAATTTGTTGTGTATCAAAATGCTCTCAGTGTTCTGCATTAAAGTGAACAATCAGCGAAAAGCAAAAGGAAGGCATAAACAATTTGAGAAAGTCATGGGAAAGGTCTAGGAAAGGGTTTTTTAAATATGAGAAATGTCCTTTGTAGATTAAATTTAGGTTTGATCATGACAGAGGAACAGAGTCCTCAATGCTTTGGCAGATTAATATAGAAACAACTTGTGTCATAACCACACCTCATGTGTTTACAATTTATTCAGGGGGGGAAAAAACTTCAAGTACATAATGAAACTGAGTAAACTTTTGGTTAGGGATAGGGGAAAAATTCTTAGTAAAAAAGTATACCCTAAATTTGATAATTTCATTACTCTCAGGGAACAAGTGTGCTATGAGCAAATCCTTTCCAAAGACTAATTAAAGAAGTATATATTTAAAAACTCCTAGAAAAATTATGTTTTACTTGGAGTATATTATTTAAAGAATCCCTAAAAATTTACTGTTTTTTCAAATACAGGTCATCACATTTAGTTGGCTATACAATCAAATTGGTTATATTTGTATTTATTTTTGATGAGATAAATTAGAATAGAAACCTTAGAGAACAGGGCATCTAAGGATTAGGTTTTCATTGAACTTCTGTTTCAGATATGTGTGTGTGTGTGTGTGTGTGTACAGTTGACTGCAATATAAAATGTAGACCTTACCACATGTTGTACTAAAAATGTTTGAAAGTCAGGTTTCTAATTTATCAAATGATATGTCAGCATGCTGAGAGCATGAATTATTTAAAAATATTATCAAAGAAAGCCAATCTATGTAAAATACATTGCTTGGCTTTTCTAAACAAAATCCATTGTAAAACATTTTTCCCACTTTCTTCTCAGATCTTATCTTCCTCAGTTTTACATGCAAAATGGACAGAAGTTAGGAGTTAGAAATGAGAAACCATACATCACTAACCAGATTCATCCTATTGGGATTGACAGATGACCCACAACTGCAGATTCTGATTTTTTTATTTCTACTTATCACCTACGTGCTGAGTATAACTGGAAATCTGGTCATCATCATCCTCACATTAGTGGATTCTCACCTTAAAACTGCGATGTACTTTTTTCTCCAAAATTTTTCCTTCTTAGAAATCTCATTTACTTCTGCCTGTGTTCCCAGATTCTTGTACAGTATATCAACAGGTGACAGGACTATTACCTATAACGCTTGTGCATGCCAGTTGTTTTTTACAGATGTTTTTGGAGTAACAGAATTTTTTCTCCTGGCCATCATGTCCTATGATCGATACATAGCCATATGCAAACCCCTGCATTACATGACCATCATGAACCACAGGGTCTGCAAAAAGCTTATCTTCTGCTGTTGGATGACCACATTGTTAATCATAGTCCCACCACTTAGCTTGGGACTGGACCTGGAATTCTGTGACTCTAATGCCATTGACCACTTTTTCTGTGATGCTAATCCTATAGTGAAGATTTCATGTTCAGATACATGGTTCATAGAGCAGATGGTTATTGTGTGTTCTGTGTTGACTTTCATCATGACTCTTATGTGTGTGGTTTCATCCTACATAAATATAATCAGAACAATTCTAAGATTTCCCTCTGTCCAGCAAAAGACAAAAGCCTTTTCCACCTGTTCTTCCCACATTATTGTGGTTTCTATCACCTATGGCAGCTGCATCTTTGTTTATATCAAACCTTCAGCAAAAGAAGAAATGGCCATTAATAAGGGAGTATCAATACTCACTACTTCTGTTTCCCCCATGTTAAACCCATTTATTTATACTCTGAGGAACAAACAAGTGAAACAAGCCTTTAACGACTTAGTCAAAAGAATAATATTGCTTTCAAAGAACTAAGGAAGTGTTCAAGTCAGGATCTCTAAGCAGTTTTCCTGTTTTTACCCTATTCTGTCTCTTCCTGATCTAGACTTGGCCTAATGTTCAGTAATGACCCTGATCAAGTCACCCTTGCATTTTCTTATAAACCAACCTCTTTGAGAATAATTTTTATTAAGAAAAATGAGAATAGTTATTTCAGGAAATCTAAGCATGACCTTACTCTCAACCTTTATTTACCAATGCTGAAAAAAATTAGAAAGTTTATCATAAAATATTGGTGCAATAGTGCACATTACTTTTTCAAGACAAAACTACTCAAATAAGTAGAGAAATAATATTAAAGGGAACAAATACCATTTGTAAGTGTAACAAAGAAAAAATTTCAAAATCCCAAAGTGTATTTTAAAACAAAGAATAAGTAAAAAGATTAAGGATTTAAGAAAAAAGCATTTGCTAAGAAACTTTAAAATCACAAAATCACATATTTTCTTGAATAGATCCAATCCAGTATAAAAGTTATCTAAAAATTGCCAAAGTGATGTGAATTAAATTAAAATGAAAAGAGTAATGCACTGGTAATTCCTGGTAAAGACATAAAACCTGCATTGAAATTACATAAAATAGCTACTGATGTATCAATTGCAATGTAAAAACTTGAATGTAGAAAATGTATTTATTCTTCTCATTTTATTTTTTAATTAAATTTATTGGGGTGACATTGGTTAATAAGATTATATAGGTTTCAAGTATACATTTCTATAATACATGATGTGCATATTGCATTGTGTGTCTACCATCCAAAGTCAAATAAGTCAAATATTTCATCACCATATATTTGACACCCTTTACTCTTTAAAAATCCCCCATTTCCTTCCTTCCTGTAACCACCATACTATTGCCTGTGCAGGAGTTTGTTTTTCTTGTTGTTCTTTTGTTGCTTTCAGTTTTATATGCTACGTATGAGTGAGATCATATGGTTCTTAACTTTTCCTGTCTTATTTTGCTTAGCATGATATTTTCAAGAACAGTCCATGTTGTTCCAAATGTCAGTACTTCATCTTTCTTATGGCTGAGTAATATGCCAGTGTATCTATGCACTACCTCTTCTTTATTTTTTTTGTTATTTCTTTTTAAAAAACTTCATTTCTTTTTTCCCTAAGTACTGCCAGTATACAATAGCATATTCCTCTTGGGTGTACCACATGGCCATTCGACATTCACAATGCTTACGATGCGATCACCCCACACATCTGTTCCTTAGAAACTTGTACCTCTTGCCCCACTCCAAAACAAAACAAAACAAAACAAAACAAAACAAAACAAAACAAAACGAGCGCGAACATGTATAACATCATCATCGCAGTGATTATCATTTCTATCACTGCTTGTCGTTCAGAGTTGTTTCGGGGCAGCAGCAGGCGAAGGAACAAAGCGACCCTTCGCTGTGGAGTTTCTCCGCCCTCCCGAGCACAGAGGACCGCATCGTTCCGCGGAGGTGTCCGAATGGGCCGGGAACCGGTCGTGGCCAGGGGCGGCCGGCCCGTGTGCGATTTCTGGGTCCGCCCATTGGCCCTTGGGCACCGGAGGAGTCAGTCCTTTGGCGCAGCAAAGGTTCTGGTCCTGGGGGTGTTTGGACCAAAGAGGAAGGAAGAGAGGAGACCGACGATTTGGTTTCCGAAGAAAACCCCCTTCTCCTCACTGCCATGACTCCAGACGAGGCCGTACTTCGATCCTACGCCCTGCGTTCCCGCCAGGCCGTCGTTACCTCTTCTTTATTCAATGATCTATTGAAGGACACTTTGTTTCCACGTGTTGTTCACCATGAATAATACTTCAGTGAACATAGGAGTACATATATCTTTGTGAATAAATGTTTTCGAAATTTTTTAGGTATGTATAAGAGAGGTTGTTATGTCATATAGTAACTCTACTCTTAATTTTTTGAGGAAACTTTTTACTGCATTCCATGGTGGCTGTACCAGTTTATATTTCCATCAACAGTGAAAGAGGGTTCCTTTTTCTCCACAACCTCTCCAACACTTGCTGTTACTTGTTGGTAACAGCCATTCTAACAGAGGTGAGGTGTTATATCACAGTAGTTTTGATTTACATTTTCCATAATAGCTAGTGAAGTTGAGCATCTTTTCATATATCTGCTGGACATTTGTATGTCTTCTTGGATGAAGTGTCTGTTCAGGTACTCTGCCCATTTTTTTTAATTTGGATCATTTTTATGTTTGGTGTTGAGTTTGAGTCTTTAATATATTTTGGATATTAACCTCTTGTCAGATCTGTTGTTTCAGATATAAGATATATCTTATATCTTCTCCTATTCAGTTGGTTGTCTTTGTTTTGTGGCCGTTTCTTTTGCTGTGCAGAAGGTTTTTAGTTTGATATAGTCCCATTCATTTATTTTTGTTTTTACTTCCCTTGCGTTTGGGGTAAAATTCATAAAATTCTAAGACCAAGGTCCATAAGTTTAGTACCTTTGTTTTTTTCTATGTAAATTTATTGTTTCAGATCTTATATTTAGTCCTATGTTCCATTTTGAATCAGTTTTTGCATAGGGGACAAACTATAGTCTAGTTTTATTCTTCTGCATGTGGCTGTCTAATTTTCCCAGCACCATTTGTTGAAGAGCCTTTCTTTTCACTATAGTATGTTTTTGGCTCCTTTGACAAAAATTATTTGCCCCTATACATGGGTTTTATTTCTGGGCTCTCAGTTCTGTTCCGCTGGTCTGTGTGTCTGTTTTTCTGCCAATACCATGTTATTTTAATTATTGTCACTTTGTAGTCTAATTTGAAGTCAGGGAATGTGATGCCTCTGGCTTTGCTACTTTTTTCTCAGGATGGCATTAGTTATTTGGGGTCTTTTGCGGTTGCATAAAACTCTGATGATTTTTTTGTTCTATTTATTTTAAAAGATGTCTTTGGGAATTTGATGGGGGGTTGTTTTAAATTTGTATATTGCTTTGAGTAATATGGACATTTTAACTATGTTGATTCTTCCAGTCCATGAACATGAACTATCTTTGCATTTCATTGTATCTTTTTCAATCTTTTAAAATAATGCTTTGTAGTTTTTAGAATCAGTCCTTCATATTCTTTGTTAAGTTTATTCCTAGGTATTTTATTCTTTTTTGTTGCAATTGCAAAAGGAATTCTTTTCTGAAATTTTATTGTTAATAGGTAGGAATGCAGTGGGTTTTTCATACATTGATTTTTGTATCCTGCAACTTTACTGCAGCTGTTTCTGTTTCTAGTGGTTTTTTTGTGGAGTCTTTAGGGTTTTCTATATAAAGAATGGTGTCATCTGCAAAAAGTGACACTTTTATTTCTTCATTTCCAATTTGAATATCTTTTATTTCTTTCTCTTGCTTGATTGCTTTGGCTAGCACTTCTAGTACTATGTTGAATAAGAATGATGTGAGTGAATCTCCACCCTGTTGTCCATATACATGGGTCCTTTATACATGTTCCTTGACTAGACCCTTCCTCTTCTTTCCAGGGTGCTGGGCAGGGCAGAGGAGAGCAATGGGGGAAAAATTGGGGTGATTGTAATTGAACAACAATAAAAAAATAAATAAACAATTTAAAAAACTGTCAGAATTTCATGGCATGTGAATAAACTGTGAATACTACTAAACAATGTAAAGTAACACACTATTGATTTTAACAACAACAAACAACAACAACAAACAACAGCAACAACAATGTGGTGAGAGTAGATATTCTTGTGTTGAACCTGATCTTAGGGGAAAAGCTTTCAGTATGATATTAACTGAGGGTTTGTCAGAGCTGGCCTTAATTATGCTGAGATACTTCCCTGCATTCTCATTTTATTGACTGTTTTAATCATAAATAACATTGTATCATTGTTTTGGAATTAGGATAATGCTGGCCTTGTAAAATGTATTTGGGAGGCTTCCCTCCTCTTGAATTTTATAAGACAGTTTGAGAAGAAGAGGTGTTAGTCATTCTCAGAATGTTTGGTAAAATTGACCTGTGAATCCATCCATTCCATGGCTTTTGTGTTTTGGGATTTTTTTTGATTAATGCTTCAATTTCACTAGGTATAACATGCCTGTTCAGATTCTCTTATTCTTCCTGATTTAGTTTTGGGAGATTGCATATTTCTAGGAATTTATCCATTTTGTCCAGGTTGTGCTGTTTTTTTGGCATATAGTTGTTCATAATGTTTTCTTACAATGTTTTGTATTTCTTTGGTGTCAGTTGTTATTTCTCCTGTTTCATTCCTGATTTTATTTATTTGGGTCCTCTCTTTTTCTTTAAAAAATTTTTTATTGTTGTTCAATTACAGGTTTCCCCATTTTTCCCCCTGTTGCTTTCCCCTGCCCTGTCCACCCCCCATCTTCCACATTAAATTCCACCTCCCCTTGTTGTCCTCATCCATAGGTACTTTGTAGATGTTTCTTGACTTAACCCTTCCCCTCCTTTCCTCTGTTATCTCTCTTCTCCCTCCTGTCTGATCCTTGTTAGATTGTTCTTTAGTTCCATGTCTCTGGTTATTTTGCTGCTTTGTTTGTTTTGTTGATGAGGCTCCACTTATAGGTGAGATCATATAGTATTTGTCTTTCACTGACTGGCTTATTTCACTTAGTGTAATACTCTCTAGTTCCATCCATGCTGTCATGAAGGGTAGGAGTTCCTTCTTTCTTTCAGTTGCATACTATTCCATTGTGTAAATGTACCAGAGTTTTTTGATCCACTCATTTACTTATGGCTATTTGTTTATGACTTAGTTAGGCTTTTCCAGCACTTGGTTATTAAATAATGCTGCTGTGAACATAGGGGTGCATAAGTTCTTTTGAATTGGTGGTTCAGGATTCTTAGGGTATAATCCCAGCAGTAGGTACACTGGATCAAAAGGCAGTTCCCTTGTTAGTCTTTTGAGGAAATTCCATATTGTTTTCCACAGTGGATGCACCAGTCTGCAATACTAAATTGAATAAGATTTATATCATAAACCATGTATATATATAAAAGCATAATGTAATGCATTTAAATACATTATTAATGCTATGTTAATAATGTTAATTATTGTAATTGGATAACACATTATAAAACTATAAGATTAATTTTAAAATAATATTACCAGTATAAGAAAATGTAAGCAAGTGGAAATGGAAACATTAATAAAAGCAATAGAAGAGGAAAAAAAGAAATAAATGGCCTTGTAATCTGGATCTTTAACTTTGATGAGTAAAACCTGCCTCCAGGAATTTTTCTTGATGTCAATCATTTGCTGATCTATGACAGAGCCTCCTCATGTGAGTCCATTAAAGCACCAGAGGGCTCTGCATGAATTTCTCCAAATCTTAGGGAGCTTGATAGAGAGAAGTTCTCCAACTTTAGTTTCAATCAGACAAAAGCACTGGGGCGGGTATCCTCATCCTATGGCTGCGTTCAACTCCAAACTTCTAAAATTTTTAGCTTCTCTGATTTTTTGATTTTGCCATAATCTATGCTACTAATCCATCAACTTAAACCTAGGAAGTATACATACTTTAGTAAGATTTAATCTTTGCTTTTTTCCCCCCATGTGGGAATTTCTATGTATCCCACTAATATGAGGGGTGTAGAGTTCAACTTATGAGTATCAAGTCCTCTGTGATTTCAATTTGTATAACTACCATTTCACCACTGATTTCTGACTTTTTTAACCCAAAGTGAAAATCACTTCCTATACAAGTCTGCTTTATCCTCCAGGTTCACAACTTGGTCACATATATAAATGGTATTCATGATATTATATTTCTAAACCATAATGTGGATGCTAATTGGTGTTATTTAATCACACATTTCCTCAACATGAGTTCTAAACAAATTGAGAAATAGAGGAATCAGGTGTCAACAGTTGCTTTATTCATGGTAGATGTAGGTTGAAGAATGTGGCTAAGATGAGAGAATATCCTTAAATTGGCCTGATTTATTTGTCATCTTAGAAGCAGAACATTTTAAAATGTATTTTATTGATTATGCTATTACAGCTGTCCCAATTTTTCCCCTTTGCTCACCTCCGCCTGGTACCTCCTTCCCTCCAGTAATGCCCCCACTTAGTTCATGTCCATGGGTCATGCATATAAGTTCTTTGGCATCTCCATTTCCTGTATTATTCTTGACAGCCTCCTGTCTATCTTGTACCTACCAATTATGCTTCTTAATCTCTGCACCTTTTTCCCCTTCTGCCTCCCAACTGATAACCCTCCAAATGATCTCCATATCTATGATTATGTTCCTGTTCTGGTTGTTTGCTTAGTTTGTTTTTTTAGATTCAGTTGTTGATAGTTGTAAATTTGTTGCCCTTTTAATGTTCATAGTTTTGATATTCTTCTTTTTCTTAAATGAGTCCCTTTAATATTTCACGTAATAATGGCTTGGTGATGATGAATTCCTTTAGCTTCACCTTGCCTGGGAAACACTTTATCTGCCCTTCCATTCTAAATGATAGTTTTGCTGGATAGAGTAGTCTCGGATGTAGGTTCTTGCCTTTCATCACTTTGAACACTTCTCACCAGTTCCTTCTTGCCTGCAAAGTGTCTTTTGAGAAATCAGCTGTTAGTCTTATGGGAACTTCTTTGTAGGTAGAACATTTTTGAAATCATTTGGAGAGTACATTCTGCCCTAGTGAGCTAACTCAGGGGCAAATACTCAGTTATGAGCAGTGATTTTTATCCCAATCACAACAAGCAGGTAATGTAGGTTTTTAAACCATTCTTGAATGAGAATTTTTAAACATTCACAAAAGGAGTCATAATACTATAATTATCAGACATGTATTCATTGTCCAGGTTCCACAATTATAAACACACTAGAATAATTTTTCTCTATCATCTCAGTCTTCTGCTTTTTGGCTGGCATTTCACTTAATAGAATTTCACCCATAAATTCATTGCATTTCACTCACAAGTTTATCAGTAGGTATGTCAATAGGAAAGGTTTCTTTTACCTACCATCATGCCATTATCCCACATATTCAGTGTGTATTCAGATTTTTCCAGTTCACATTAAGATTTTTTCTCACACTTAAGGTGTTAGAATTAAAATCCAAACAAAATTCACACATCACATTTGATTGTTATGCTACTTACAATTTTTTATTTTTAGATTTTATTTATTTTGTTTTTAGAGAGAGGGAAACGAGGGAGAAAGAGAAGGAGAGAAACATCAGTGTGTGGCTGCCTTTTGCACGCACCCTACCGGGGACCTTGCCTGCAACCCAGGCATGTGCCCTAACTGGGAATTGAACCAGCGACCCTTTGGTTTGCAGGCTGGCACTCAGTCCACTGAACTCCATCAGCCAGGGCACAACTTTTATTTTTGTATTTCCTTACAGTCCTTTTATTATTTTTCTTGTATGAATAGTTAGAGAAATAAGGTCATTTTCCTCATGGTATCACTTGTTACTCTATCACCGATTTTCTTTTACATGTTAATTAGATTTAATTATTGATTAGATTATAGATTCATATTTTTAGCAAAGATAGATGACAGATGTGACTGTATACTTTCTATTGCATCACATCAGGAGCCTCATCATGTCTGCTTGACCTACTTAGTAATGATTGATCAATTAATTTCCTTTTATAATGCTATATATACACTCATGGACTTCTATATATTTGATAGTTTTCAATCAATTGCAGTCATTATTATACTTTTATGTTCAAATTGTCTCATTTTAGACCAGTAGGTAGGATCCAGATTGGTTCCTGTGTCCTCGTGATATTTTTTGCCTCCTATTTTTCTGTAACAATGAAATGTTCAGGCTTAGTTTGTATGCTTCCTACCCCTAACATGGAAACAACTCTTTCTCCTAGAAGCCCTGGTTCCTCTCAGTGGGAAGTAGTATTAGAAACTGTACCCTGCTTCCTGAATTGCTTACAATCTAACATGAATAATGGGCCACAATCAGTGCCAAAAATTTACACCGTTTAATCCTACAGGTTTAGTTTCTGTCCTTTCTTTTCCATATCACTTTTATTTAAGGTATAGCCATACTTTACATAAAAATTAACTTGGTTAAAAAAAAATATCCTGATTCCACTGACTTTTCTGAATATTTAGCTTGTATAGCTATCATTACCAGTTACATCACCAAAGGCTCAATTAACTAGGCTAGAATATAAAAGTGAAATTTAGCATTATATGGCAAAATAGTTATTACATTGAATTAAGGGATTTTTTTAGATAGAGAAAATAACTTTAATCAGGATGGAGGAGGTAGAATATAGGCTTTGAAGACAATGAAATAATTTTTTACATTATAATTTATTTCATTAACATAGTCATGATTTCTTTCAGAAATTCAAAATTTTCATAGACACAGAGAACAGTATATTTATTACTAGAGGGAAAGGGGGTGGGAGGAGGCAGAAGAGGGTAAAGGGAGGATAAATGGGATGGAAGGAGACTTTGTGTGTGGTGAACACACAATACAATATACAGTTGATGTAGAATTGTACACATGATAACTACATCATTTTACTAATCAATGTCACTCCAATAAATTCAATAAAAAAGGAGTTCAAAATTTTATAATTTTATTTAAAAATATATTCAGTTAGGGTAATATAGACTTTGATTTCTATTTTTCCTATTCATCACATACACAAGGATTAAAATTTATCTTACTGAATGAAAAAGTGTTTTGTAAAATAAGCTATTATAAATTATATCTTACTTTGACTTCATAATTTGTGCAATGTGCTCACACCTTAAAAGTGACACTTAGGAAACATAATATTCCCAAGAACATAATACTATATCTATTAAAATTAAACTATGATCATTATCTATTATCTATTATCATTACCATTAAACTATTTCCTTGTCTTTTTGTCACAAATGACTTCGTGATTTCTTTCAAAAACTTTTCTCTTGTCCTAAAAATATAATTCTAGCTACAAAAATTCCAAACTCTGTAAAGTCTTCTAATATGCAAGCTCATACAGAGCTTTATTGAAAACATTTGTTTTATAAAATATGATCTAAGAAAAATATCACATTTAACATTTTGCATTTCTTACACTGATAAAGGTGTGCAGAATCAAGTTTCTAACCAGAAATAATAGCATGGAAAGAGACCCAAAGTGATCTGAAATTGCTAATATAATCTGAAACCATGTACAGGGAAAGACAAAGTAAACCAAGAGAAAAAGGGCATTATTTCCTTTATGCTTTTCAATATATTCTCATTGGTTTGAAGCAAATAAAACTTTCTGGACCATTTCCTTAAAGGCCTGTTTCACTTGCTGGTTCCTTAGGGTATAAATGAAGGGATTCAATAAGGGGGCAACTGAGGTATTGAGTACAGCTACTCCTTTGCTTAAAGTCACTCTATCATTTGCTGATGGTTTGATGTACATGAATATACAGCTACCATAAGAAATGGAAACTACAATCATGTGGGAAGAACAGGTAGAAAAGGCTTTGGTCTTTTGCTGAGCAGAAGGGAATTTGAGAATTGTCTTGATGATGTAGCCATAGGAAAGAATCACTAACATCAAGGTGACCATTAGTGTCACCACGGCCAAGAAGAAAGACGTTAGCTCTAGGAAATGTGTATCTGAACAAGAGATCTGCAGTATGGGAGAAGAATCACAAATAAAATGATCAATGACATTGGAAGCACAGAATTCCAACTTGAGTACCAAGATCATTGGAGGGAAGATAATCACGAATCCAGTTACCCAAGAGCTGAGTACAAGTTGGTAGCAAACTCTGTTACTCATGATGGTGGTATAATGCAGAGGTTTACATATAGCCACATAACGGTCATAGGACATAGCTGCGAGAAGGTAAAATTCTGTCACTCCCAAAAAGATAAAAAAAAATAACTGAGCCATACAACTCTCATAGGAAACAGTTCTGTCCTTATTCACTAGGCTCCCCAGGAATCTTGGAATACAAACAGTTGTGAATGAGATCTCTAAAAATGAGAAATTCCGTAGGAAGAAATACATCGGTGTCTTAAGGTGGGAATCTAGCAAAGTGAGGAGGATGATGGTTAAGTTTCCTGTCACACTCAAAATGTAGGTAAAAAATAGAAAGAGGAAAATTACAACTTGCAATTTAGGGTCATCTGTCAGACCCAAAAGAATAAACTCTGTTTGCATTGAATGGTTCCTCATTCTTCTCTTGTGGATTTTATCAAAACTAGACAAAGAGAGTTAAAAAAAAAAAAGAATGATTAGGATTAGCTGTTAGGGTTACTAAGAAAGAACAAAGAAGGAGAGAGAGGAACTAAGGTCCATTGACTGATCACCGACAACATGTCAGGTACTTTGTTTAGAGACCCCCAACAACCCTCTTTGGGTGGAGTATTACACAAAACCAAAATTCTCTCTACAAAATTAAGAAGGGTATATATATTTATTCAGGTTTAACTAATAAGATTGCGATTATGAATATTGATAACTTTCAAGAAAAAGAAAAATTTTAGAATATAAATAAAAATAAAAGGGATAAATCATTCTATAAATTCAAAAAACATACAAACTCTTGCAACCGCATTTTAAATAGCATTTGAAACTTCCTAAACACATTTTAGAAATCAGTAATACTGTAATTCCTATATCAAGAGTTTTTCTCCTCCTTCTCTTCCTTCAGAATATTTTGTTAGCCAGATTGTGGGCAGGTTGGACTATTTCCATGTGGAGTTTACCATTAATGTGATTCTTTTTTAAAAGTACATTTTATTGATTATGCTATTGAAGTTGTCCCAATTTTCCCCCTTTTGCCTCCCTCTGCCTAGCACCCCGCTTCCCTCCAGTGATCCCTTCCTCTTCATTCACGTCCATGGGTCATGCATGTAAGTTCTTTGGCTTCTCCATTGCCTAAACTGTTCTTAACATCCCCCTGTCTATGTTGTACCTACCCAATTATGCTTCTTAATTACCATTAACATGATTCTTAAGAGAAAAAAAGCAACTCAAAACACAAATAAGTAAAAAAAAAAAAATGCATCCTCTTCTTTAGAATCATCTTTAGCTGTGCAACTTTGGCCTGCTGGTGATGACTCTCTCTCTGAATATAGTCAACTCAGTATCTTCTATTTATTTTAATTTTTTAAAAAAATATTTTATTTATTGATTTCAGAGAGAGAGGAAGGGAGGGAGAGAAACATCGATTGTTGTTGCTGCAACCCAGGCATGTGCCCTGACCTGGAATTGAACTGGCAATCTTTTGGTTGATAGGTTGCCGCTCAATCTACTGAGCTACACCAACTAGGATTTCAGTTGCTTTTTAAAAGCTAACACACATCAAAAATTTTAACTGTTTTTGTGACTTATTACTTTTTCTTAGTTCCCATGTCAAAATTTCTGCCTGCTCAGAACAAATATGTATTGTTTCCTTAATAGTTTTCTCCTAGTTTGATTAAAAAATTTTTTGACGTAGTCTAGAGGGTTTGTCTATCACAGCGATTTTCAAAATCAACAGAGAATTTAAAGTAATTCATGATGTCTTCTGTATCTAAAGCTGCTTTGTGTTTATTGGTTACTAAATGAAAATAATATATTATTTTTCACATTTATTTTCTTGTAATCAGCATCTTCGTAATTCCAATATTTTTTTATAATTCCAATATTTTTATTAATGAATGAAAAAATATCTCTCTAGGAATATATAATCAGGCAAAAAGTAAGTGATAATTAAAACGTGGCACTATGATGGCCACAGAGTGAATATTTCTCTTTTTCTAGAGATCATTTCATTAATTTTATTTTCTCAACTTATCCATTGTTATATTAAATTTATATTTCTATACAAAAAGATGTAAAATGATTAACCAATTAACCACAGTAACCCTAATACATTTATTTAAAAATGGGCAAAGGACTTGAATAGAGATTTCTCCAAATAAGACACATGCATAGCCAATAAGATCATGAAAAGATATTCATCATTAGCTGTTTCAGAAATGCAATTCAAAATTCAGTGAGATACCACTTCACATCTACTAGAATGATATAATAAAAAAGTACAATAAGTATTGGGAAGAATGTGAAGAAATTGGAACCCTTGTGCATTGCTAGTGGAAATGCAAAATGAAGTCACCACTGTGGAAAACACTCTGTTAGTTTCTCAGAAAGTTAAACATTGAACTACCATAGGACTTAGGAATTCCACTGTTAAGTACATAGCCAAAGAATTAAAAGCAGGGCTCAATGTTCATAGCAGCATTATTTACAATAGGCAAAAAGTGGGAGCAACCCAAGTGTCCATTAACAGATGAATAGATTAAACAAAATGTGGCCTGTACATACTATTCAGTCATAAAAAGGAGTGAAATATTGATATATGTTTCAACATGATAGATCTTAAACACATTATACTTAGTGAGATAACACAAAACACAAAAGGACAAGTACTGTGTGGTTCCACTTTTAGAGGTACCTAGGATAGACATACTAATAGAAACAGAATGTGGAATAGGGGTTACCAGGACATGGGAGTTGAGGAAGGGAGAGTTGTCATAAAAAAAGTTCATGCTGGGGAAGATGAAAAAGTTTTGAATATAGTGATGATGGTTACACAACATGTACTTAATGTACTTAATTACCACTGAGTGAATGTACTTAATGCCACTGAGTTGTACACTGCCATGTGGTTCAAATGATAAGTATTCTGTATATTTAACCATAATAAAATATTTTTAAAGAGTGAAAAATAGAAAAAATAAACCACTTATAAATATCTGCCTTTGATTTCCACAAAATTATCTTAATTTATAATTAAAAATAAAAGATCCAAACTCTAAACCACTTGCCTTAGTCCCAGTATTTTCCTGTATCTTCTCGTAGGATGTAAAAAGGGAGAAAAAAGGAGGTAGTAATGGATTATGAATGCATTCAAAGTCTAGGCAATATTATTTCAATAAGAAATTTAAAGAAAATGACATTTAAGTTACATTTCAATGCAAAAAGATGGAATGTATTCTGTGCTTTTGTAAATTTTGTACTTTCTGCCTCACCATTTTATGTAAGTTTAAATTTAAAGCAAAGTTCTCAAGTTTGGTTCTATTCCAGATAAGATAAATCTCTAGCATTTACTGTGAATGCATCCAAATGATATTATATCTAGTATTAATACAAGTGAAATACATTCTTATATTCTTTAGATTTGGAAATGGAAATTAAAAAAATCCAGAATACCTTATAAAAGCATTATATCCTGTAAGTAGGGAGATAGTTCACTGTTGATTTCACATGCCAAAAATGTGAGTGTTCTTTTGTTGTTTAATTAATTACATACTCAAGGGATTTCATTGAGAAGGGAAAAGAAACAAAACAATACAAAAGAAAATGTTCCTCTGGGATTAATGATCAGAAGACACTAATGATATACAATAAAACCAACTTATATAGCATATTGTAATAGAATATAAAGGGTCACTATAAATAAGGAGAACTGAGGATTAAAAATCTATAGACAGTGAATAAGAGCAATCGGTGTGTCATGATCACATTTATGTTATTATTCAATAATCTACTTTAATATATTTCAGTTTAGAATTACAAAATTCCCTTAGAGTTAACTACATTAACAAAATTTTCCATTTAGAAAATCCTTAGCATGTGTTGTGACATTCTTCGAGCTAATTGATTTGTGGATCAATTACCTCAGAACATAACGTCCAGCACAAGCAGAGCAGTATCTCTAGACCCAATAGAAACATTACTGAATGAAATAAGATATGAAGTTATAAGAATTGTATCCAAGGAGATGAAATATAGGATACTTCTGTTAAAAAAGGATGGCAGTCAGACATTAGTAACTTTAAGGTTACTAATTATGTTAAATTTCTCTCAATTATGTTAAGAAATAAAAATATTTAATTGAAGAGTATCCTGTTGACCTATCACATATGAAAGAAATAAAAAACCTGTGAAGTATAAAAGAAATGCAGCATACTCTGACTAAAAACCTCAACATGGAGTAACAAAGGACTGAGAGATACAAGCAGTATTAATATAGTGCATTTGATATTTGTATTATAGAATTAGAAATCATATTTATAAAAATGTTAGTCAATAACTTTTAATCCTGTGTTTGGTTTCATATGCATTTTTCAATATTATCACCTTCATATGCATTTTTCAATATTATTACCAGGAAATGGCCCTCAATTTTCTCAAACCTGAAGATTATTATATTATTTTCAACTCATTTTTTTTTCTTTCAGTCTTCTCATTCTTTGCTTTTTCCCCAAGGTACTGAGATGGTCCCGTTTCATAACAGAGTAGGATCTCTGGTTTTATTTTCATGTAAGCAAAGTTATTTCAGAGTCTAGCTCTTTATCCTTTGAATTATCTCAAACTAGGAGTAAAACGTTTAAAATACAAAGATATATCTTTGACTTGTCTTTCCTGTATTAAACAAATTCAAAGCATTTCTAATGCATTGCTTAGGCAGAATGTTTCCTGAAATGGTTCAAGGAAAATTTTCTGGAAACTGAATATCAACTAGATTTTAGTCTTGACTGGGGTGGTTCGCCATGGACAGAACCCAGAATTCAGTCTTTTGGAATCTACAATAGGACTGGCTCCAGGTATTTTTTCCAGGATGTTAAATTCTGAGTCACTCAAGAGTGGCCCTATATCAGTAATCTCTCTCTTAGTTGGCATTTTATGTGACCCTCACTCAAGTCTAGTACTCTCACGATCTATCCTTATGTGTGTTATCTTGATTCTTTCAGGATATGTTAGCTCTTTTGGTGAATAAGTATTTTCTTTCTGTAGAAGGGAATATACTTCCCTAGGAAGGCAATGTTGAGACTTGATTCTAGGTATTATTACAGAAGCCACTATTTGAGGGAACATTTTAAGGAAATGCATCTTTCAGAGCATTTATTTGCCTCAGATGAGGACTTTACTTTTTTATTGTTGTTCTATTACAGTTGTCTCAATTTTGCCCTGTTGCTTTCCCCAGCCCCGCCCACCGCCTGCTCTCACAGTCTATCCCCACCCTGTTGTCCATGTCCATGGGTCATTTAAACCTGTTCCTTGACTAGTCCTTCCCCTTCTTTCTCCACTCATCCCTCTCCCCGCTTCCATCCGGTCACTGTCAGTGTGTTACTGGTTTCCATGCCTCTGCTTCTAATTTGCTTATTTGTTTGTTTTGTTCATTA